GGGGGGGGGGGGCTCCACCCTCTGATACTGCTTTAGTAGGTTTATTTTGCTACCTAAAAATACATATTTTAAATAAGCACCCTAGGGACAACAGACATTGAGATACCACTGGATTTGTATTTCACACAAGTTATAGTATTTTCATTTACTAAAACCAATGGATAGTCTTATCAGGATATTTATTTAAGCTGAATATACACTCTCCAACCATGCCAGAAGACAGAATAGTTACTATACCTGGTAGTCCAGCATGTGGAAGCTTGGAAAAAACTGACAAATTCGGGATTCAAAAAAATAGGGAAAAATCCAGAAAATGGGTAGTTCTTTGTGATTGTTATCTAATGGATCACAAAAAAAAAGGAGAAAGAAAATAAGAAACTGATATTAAAGAAAAAAATATAACAGCTATAACTGGAAAGCTTCTGGTATCAGAAGAAACTACAACGTTCAATACATTTAAATCACACTAAAGGAAGGAATGTCTACCAGAGCACCATGTACAGTCAGACCTCTCACAAAGACAATGGAAACATTCTCCTATATCTAAACACAGCTACACGTATGAAGTAATCCTAACATGCATATCACAATAGTATATGTAAAGGTAGAGATGTTACCAAAAAAGTGGAATATAAAATTAATTTTTATGAGAGGCAGGAATACAGCTGTTATATATAGGCTGAACACAATGCTAGGTACTTTTGATATATTGTCTATGTATAATAACCTCTAGAGTCAGATATTAATAATCCCATTTTATAGAAGAAAATGAAGCCACAAGATTTAAGTCATTGGTTCAAGTCCACAGAGCTGATAAGTGGTAGAATTGGAATTCAAGCCCACAAAGCTCTTTATTGCTTCCCCAATAATACGGACTTTATACACTCCGATAAGTGACTTAGGAACTGAAAATAAATGGAATACTTAACACTATGAGTCATATTTTAGATTTCGTTTGCATTCTGTCCCCCAAAGCACACTATTTATGTAGCACAATTGACTGAGAAACTTGATCACAAACTCCTAACGCTCTTACAATTTATCAACTTGTAAGCTGGAAACTAAAAAATTATTGTACAAACTAATTAGATCATTGGATGAAATACTTGGAAGTCCTAAGCCACCTGAAACTGAATAATAACCCTCATCCATTCCTCCACCGCTAGGACCAGGTATCTGTGTCACTGATAACCACTGTCTGGCTCCTGGGTGTCTGACTTTCCCCCCAAATCCAGGCATGACTTAGCACTCTGGGCCAGAGGTCGGTGGTATCTTCGAGTCCTGGGCGAGACTTTAGGAGCAGGGAATGGAAGGTGCATGAGGGCAGAGCTATGTGGCTGACATGGTCACTACTCTATTTCTACCACCTGGTTCATGGCCCTTCAGTAAATACAGGGGTGGGTAAAAGTAGTTGTGAGTACACAAAACACAGTTTATTTTTGTAGTATTACTTATTTATTTTAGCATTATTTTCCAAATAAACAACTATAAACCTACTTTTGCCCATACCTGTATTTACTGAAGAAAAAAAAAAAGACAATTTACTGCTATTCTTCATGTCCCTTTATGCCCATAAGAACAAAATTATCTACAAGCCATTTTAAAAACACATGATCAGGACAATACAAAGTGTATCATGATGATAAAATATGCCACATTAACAAATAAGCCTGCTTTTAAAAAAGACCAGAAACAAAGGCATATATATTTTAGTGCTCTAATTCACCAAGATCTGATTTGACAGAAAGTAAATGCTCAGATACATGTTTATTTTGAAGTAAGTAATAAATTACACACCTTGACTTTGACCTTTCTTCCACATAGCAATTAGCTTCTTGAATGTAACAGCCAGAGGTTCAACCAAGCCACCAAAAGGAGGGTCTGTCACCATAATGACTCCTTCACCTTTATCTTCCTGTAAAAATGTTCTGCATACTTCAAGGGCAGCCTGGAAAAATACACATTCATTTCTAAATTAGGGAGGCACTTCGTCCTATTTGGAGGAGAATGCACTGGGGTCGGTCTCACTCTTGGTACTGAAATTTCACCCATCTGCCACCCCAGAGTCCCTCACTGACATCCTCAAGCCTCCCTCATTCATCCCCTGTGTGATTTTATCTTTGGGTTTCTTGATAAGGAAGTTTTTAAAATTGCAAATTCAAATACCATCACTATCAGAGGACTACACATTTCAAATGGTTAAATTAAAAACCTAAATTTAGTAACCTAAAAGAGAGAAACTCATTACCCAAGAAAAACTATCTAAAACTCTAAATTCAATTTAATAAACAGAAGCAGGGACTGTGCCAAACACTGGGAACACAAAGACAAGGCACATTTCTTTCCTATCTGGTCTGTCCACCACCATGTGTTCAGTTTAATAAGAGCTACAATTACCAGTTAAACACACAGGGTTTTGAGAACATGCACGGTAAGTAAATAAACGAAGGGTCACAAATAACAACTCGTATCCAGGCCATGAGACCATGCTAGTAACACATTTTCCCAACAAACTGATTCAAGTGTTTTTAGTAATTGCAAACTTAACATAACTACTGTCTAAAATATGTATCTTTAGTTGTTGTTGTTGTTGTTGTTGTTGTTGTTTTGGGAGATGTTAATGAGAGATACATCTATAATAACTCCAGTCATCTGACTTTGTAATAGTTTTCAAGTATGTACTCATCTATAAAAGCAAATCAACACTTAACAATATCCTGAGTGGCATATGATTTTAAAGTTTAGTGGTATGTTAAACTTTAATAAACCTGTATGTATTTAAAATATATATTGTCCTACTACTAAATCCCAACTGATGAGAGGAAAAAGCACCGTATCCTAATCCCTTTCCCTAGGAGAGTCACTATTAACCTCCTACTGGCAGTCCTACAGCAAAGGACAGTGTGTCAAGAAGGTTAATCATTTTTCAAGCACTGCCTGGTACTTTCTTAACCTGCCGACATGAAGAGAACCTAAAGTACAGATGATGTTATTGGAAAATCTTCAAATTCCTTAGTTAAAAGCAGAAAAAAAGAAAATAAACAAGTAAACTAGGCCTAAACTCTTAACCAAATTTTAAAAACATTAAGCATAAACTTCCAGGTAAGAATCTAGGCTATAATATCCTGTCAAGAGTTGCTGAGGGTCCTAAAATTGACACCTATGGAAACAGATGCTGGCTTATACCACCAATGTTGACAGTATCCTCTTTTCTTCATCTCAATTATCACTAAAAACTGGCACTTCATATTTTTATTGCCCTAGCTGGTCTGGCTCAGTGGACAGAGCGTCGGCCTGGACACTGAAGGGTCCGGGGTTCAATTCCGGTCAAGGGCACATGCCCCGGTTGTGGGATCAATCCCCAGTAAGGAACATGCAGGAGGCAGCCAATCAATGATTGTCTCTCATCATTGATGTTTCTATCTCTCTCTCTCTCTTCTTCTTCTCTAAAATCAATAAAAATATATCTAAAAAATAAGTATTTCAAAAAAATGTATATTTTTATTGATTTCAGAGAGGAAGGGAGAGGGAGAGAGAGATAAATAGCTGAAAAATAGATATCCCAACGCCCAACTGATTCTGAAAGAAGGCGTGCGTCACTGGTTATCCTTACTAAATCAGGAGACTCATTTTCAATCCCAACCAACAATTCAGAATCTGTTTTCATTTTCTAAATGCTTGTTTTTTTAGTCTTGCTTGGTTTTCATTCTATCATTAGCTATTACCTTAAAGCACAATAAAAGACTATACTTTCAGGGATCATTTCTATAGTTCGTTAAAGCACAATAAATACTTTAGCATGGTTCACTATCTTTAAAAAGTCACACACACACACACACACACACACACACACAGATATGCTTCAGGAGATCTTGATAATTCCAATCAAAACCTCCTGGGAGGTGTGACTACTGGTTAGTTGTGATTTTTATTTTGTAATAAGATTGACAAAGAGCTCAAACTAGGAGTGGAAGTATCAGCTCTGCTGTGTTGTTTATTCACAGTGACGTTATTAACATCATATAAAGAAGTTTCCTTTAAGCCACTATCTTTTTATTAAGACTATTTTTTTTTTAGAGTAGTTTTAGGTTCACAGCAAAATTGAGAAGAAGATACAGAGATATCCCACATGGCCCTGGTCCTACACGTACACAGCCTCCCCATTAACATTGCCCACCAGAGGGGTACATTTATTAGAATTAATGAACTTATGTTGACACATCTTTATTAGACACTAGTTTTTAAGGAGTAATCTAATAAAACCATAAATCCCCTTAACTGGAACATGAAATTTACTAGGGAGACAGATATCAAACAACTAACCACACAACTATCTATAATAATAAAATAGTAATATGCTAATTAGACCAGGCATCCTTCCGGACATCCTTCCTTCCCGGACAAAGCTGCAGTGGGCGGGGGCCCAGGCAGAGGCAGCAGAAGCCCCCGGCCCAGGCGGCAGCGGGGTCAAGGCACTTTCACGAATTTCATGCATTGGGCCTCTGGTTTAATTATAGTATCCTAACTCCACAAAGGAGAACTTGACCTTGTCTGGGGCTCGGGGGAGGCTGGAGAAAATGACTTGGAACAGAGCTCTGAAGAATGAGGTAAAGTTAACGAGGCAAATAGAGAGGAGAAGGCAGAGGGCATGGCAGGGCAAAAGGCCCTGTGGTGGGAAGGCCAGTTCCAGATGAGAGTTCGAGATGAACACAAAGAGCAAAGCAGGAGCAGGGAGAGGAGGGGCTGAAGAGTGGCAGGGCTCAGACCACACAAAACCATGTGGGCCTTGGTAAGAAAGTGGATCTTTACCCAAAAAGTAGTGAAAAGTCATGAAAGAGAAATAATGTAATCACTTCTAGATGCTCAGTATCTTCTCAGTTAATGAATAAAATATCTCTATGAGTAAATGGTGGAACAGCCACAATTTGATCTTAAGGGACTTTAGAAAAATAACAAAGGAGATACTCTTGAATTTATTCTTCACAAGAGAAGAAAGAGATAATGTTAACAATTCTTACCTCTCCATCAAAGAAGTGATGGTTAAACATGTTATAATGGCAAAAGCTATCTTCCATATAAAACTGCGAATACCTGTAAAATAATTTGCTTATTACTGGAGTTACTTGTCCAGTCATAGTTATACAATAAATAAATATAAACTACATTTTAAAACTGTGAAATCACACCTTTAATAAAGTCAATTTCATCATGCTTCGTCTTCTGAAATAAGGAATGCTTTCCCAGCCCTACTGGGTTTGGCTCAGTGGATAGATCATTGGCCTGCGGACCGAAGGGTCCTAGATTCAATTCTGGTCAAGGGCACATACCTTGGTTGCAGGATCCTCCCTGGCCCAGCCCTGGTCCTGGCTCATGCAGGAGGCAACCAATCTATGTGTTTCTCTCACATTGATATTTCTGTCTTTCCCTCTCCCCCTCTCTCTAAAAATCAATGAGAAAATATTCTCAGGTGAGGACTAAAAAATAAAATAACAATTACAAAAAATTAGTGGGTTTTTTGTTTGTTTTTTTTAAATATATATATATTTTTCTATTTCAGAGAGGAAAGGAGAGGGAGAGAGAGAGAAACATCAATGATGAGAGAATTATTGACTGGCTGCCTTCTGCATGGGGATTGAGACAGCAATCCGGCATGTGTCGTCCTTGAACGGAATCAAACCCAGTACCCTTCAGTCTGGAGGCCGACTCTCTATCCACTGAGCCAAACCAGCTAGGGCAAAATTTGTTTTTAAGAAAAAAACAAAAAGCTTTCCCCAAATCTTAGTTGGTAACCGTGGATGATGAATAAAAAACTTAAATTGTGTTCCCAAGTTTAATGTATCAGTGATAAAACTATGGAACACTTATAGTTAATAACTTTAAGAAAAATACTGAATCAACCTTTCTGCTCAACAGCTGTTAATTACTGTATTTTCTTCTGTGATTCACACAAAAAATATTTAATGCAAAGTTTTTCTTGTCTATTGCAGATTAGCTTTATAAAATACTAGAGCCAGTGCACAAAATTCAGGGGCGGGTCCCTCAGCCTGGCCTGTGCCCTCTTGCAGTCCGGGGGCCCTGGGGGATGTCCAACTGCTGAGGGGTCGGGAGGCTCCGGCCACCGCTGCTGCGCTTGCCAGCCATAAGCCTGGCTCAGGGCTTCTGGCTGAGCGGGCGTTCCCTTTGTGGGAGCGCACTGACCACTAGGGGGCAGCTCCTGCATTGAGCGCCTGCCCCCTAGTGGTCAGTGCACATCATAGTGACCGGTTGTTCGGCTGTTCGGTAGATTTGCATATTAGCCTTTTATTATATAGGATGCTTTTCAATATACAGTGGGGCCTTAACTTATGAGTGTCCCGACTAACGAGTTTTTCGAGATACGAGCCGTCTCTCGGCCGATTTTTTGCTTTGAGTTGCGACCTAAAATTCGGGTTACGAGCCAGCTTCAGATACCCCACCGCTAGTTGGCACAGTGAACATCACAGTGAACGCCACAACATTAGCCCAGTATCACGTGTCTCACTCGTTCACTTTTGATTTGACATACGAGTCATTTGAGTTACGAGCTCCATCACGGAACGAATTAAACTCGTAAGTCAAGGCCCCACTGTATTCAAAAAAGAAGTATGTGCATTTCATATTTACTGAATTAGTGCTGGGAAAGAGGGATATTTATTTATTGGTTGAATCACTTTATTCTTCTAACACTACTTTATTTAAAATTTATTTTTTTAATTAAAAAATTTTTTGCAATTACAGTTGACATACAATATTATATTAGTTTCAGGTGTAGTAACACACTACTTTAAAATGCCTATCAGCAATGAATGACAGTACCAACTTTGGGTATTAACTTTATAAATTTTTACTAACTTAGTAAGCAAAATCCATACTAACATAATGGTTTAAATTTGCATTTATTTGGTTTCTTATAAGACTGAGATTTCCTCATTCCTTAAGTGTATTTGTACTGTCTGTCTCTGTTTTCTCCATTTATGTTTATGGTTCTTAATGTCTTTCATGCTGATTTCTGAGTTTTTCATATACTATAGAAACCTCATTTTTATCTCAATAGGATCTTGAACTTTGACAATTTTGTTATAAACAATTCACATATGAATCACATCATCCTTCTATGGAATGCACAGTGGAAAGACTGAAAAACATCAGGGACACATCCTTACTTCTATGACTTCTTTAGCCAGATCACGACAGCAGAACAACTTTGTCTACTCTATTCTCAGTTACCCATTACTGTCTACAACTGATTCACCATCCATGGTATTATAATGGGTAACCCTGCTTATCCTCTTCTTCGTATGCTGTGGTTAAAAGCACAGACTCTTTGGTCAGATGACCTGGTTTCAAACCCTATTAGCAGTGTAACCTTAGTAAGTATTTCACCTATCAGAGCCCCAGTATCTTCGTCTACAAAATGAGAAACATAGTAGTTTCCACATCATAGGCCTTGGTAAGAATAAATGAGATAATGAGATAATGTATGTAAAGCAGTGCCAGCTAAATAGCGTATACTGAAATGTTAGGTCTCATTATTTTAATAAACACCAGCTAATATGCTTTAATGTCCCTAATGTTAGGGAATTATGTTTATGTCCAACCAAAATCTCCCTTCCTGTAATCTAATCCATTTCTTCTTATTCTGTGGAGATGGAGAACAACTGTTCACCATTCTCATTATGTTATCCCTTAATATTATTTACAATACTGTTAGTATATCTGAATCGAAGAAATAAACAAAAGGTTAGGGTAACTGAAAAATATTTAAATTATATACTGTAACTTAATGAACACTCCAAACACTGTGGGGCAATGTCAATTACCACTAATAAAGAAATGACTTCCTATTTAACTAAATTCCAAATAGCTAACAATATATATTATCTGTTATTTAATTAATATATATCTGTCAATACTAGTAGAGCTGTGAGTCAACTATCTTTTGAGAGTTTTCTTCTCTCTTGCATTGCTTTGTGTAAGCAAAAAAAAATACAATCCGTTTAAATATATATTTCTACTGACTCTCCATTTTTTTATTGCTTCACAATGACACAATAGTCTTTTTTTTTTTCATTAAAAGAGAAAAACTTATTTACATAAAATTCAACACAGCACAGTTGTCCAAAACTTCCTGGGCAGCAGTAAGCAGGGCCAGAGAGAGAAAAAAGCCTAGATTTCAGCTCTAAGTTTCATCGAATACAAACAAGGGAGCATAATTATTCATATTTTAAATTATGAAAAATCACTCAACATTACCCTCTTAAAATGAAATTGGCCACAAAGAATTATTCTCTCCACTGAATAAAGCAAACAAAACCAATCAGAAAGCATGCACTTGAAAACTGCTCAAAAGGACATTCATTTAATTTGGCCATTCATTCTCTTTAAATGAGTCAGTTACCAAGTGTGAAACATACTCTACACACAGGAAATGTAATCAAGAGCTGAATAAAATAAGTTCATGAAATGAACCCAAGAAATCCATTTTTTTATATAACTTTATTTGGATGATAGTTTGCCAAATAGAGTTTCACATCTTTCATGCTAAAATTAGAGCATATAAAAATCCATCTTAGCAAATGTTAACTTCATATCTTGGACCCCTGAAAAGGATATTTACAGCACATCTACATAGAATGCTGGAGTTGAGGCAGCTCTCTGCAGCCTTGGACAGACCTTCTGTAGGGCAACAACAAACCAAAGTCAAAGTGCCAACTGCCACTCCATACCCTCAGGGAGTTTTTCCTGACTTAACTCTGAGAAACCCGAACCAACCCACACACTCCATACTGTAAATACAGGCAACAGACTGAATTCGTTCTGGCTACTCCTGTGTTTCAATAGACCAGCTCTCTCTTAACACCCAATGTTGACCTTTTGTAGAATTGACTCAGTAACACAGTACGGGATCAAAGAAACTAAGCTAGGATAACCTTAGCACAACAGAGGTTTATAGACATGAAAAAAAGTATTAGTGTATTCCGTTAGTTATAAAATAACTTTATCCACATCCCCTTTGCCTACTCTAACCAAGAGATTTCAACTTCACGCTCAAGAAAGGTAAAACCATAAGATATGGCATTTAAGGCAAAAGAGTTAAGGGGCCATTTAAATCTTTCAAATTAAAAGTAAATCCAAGTAAGGTGAAAGAGTTCTGGAGAATGGTTGCACAATGATGTAAATGTACTTCACTTACTTAACACTACTGAACTGTATATTTAAAATGGTTAATATGACCAATTTTATGCTATGTGTATTCTGTCACAATATTTTATCTTTTTTTTTCTTAATACTCAGCCAAGGATATTTTTCCATTGATTTTTAGAGAGAGTGGAAGAGAGAGGGAGAAACAGAGAGAAACATTGATGTGAGAGAAACACACAGATTGGTTGCTTCCTGCATGCTCCTGGACCAGGGCCCAGTCTGGGGAGGAGCCTGCAACCTAGGTACATGCCCTTGACCAGAATCGAACCCAGGACCCTTTGGTCCGCAGCCCAACACTCTATCCACTGGCCAAACTGGCTAGGGCCACAGTTTGTTTGTTTTTAAAGTAAATCAGGGCAATAGCAATGAATAATACAAAATGAAATTAAGAAAACAATTTTCAATAGCAACAAAAAGAACAAAATATTTAGGAGTAACTTTAACAGAGGAACTGCAAGACTTATATGCTGAAAACTAAAAAATATCATTTAAAGAAATTAAAGAAGACCTAAATAAATGGAAAGACTCTTGTGTTTATGAACTAGAAGACAATTAAGAAGGTAATACTCCCCAAATTGATCTACAAATTTAATGCAATCTCTATAAAAAAAAATCACAGCTGATTTTTTTGTAGAAATTTACAAGCTGATCCTAAAATTCATATAAAATGCAAGGAACCCAAAATAGCAAAAAACAATCTTGCAACAGAATAAAGTTGGAAGACTCACACTTCCTAATTTCAAAACTTACTACAAAACAACAATAATCAAGATTGTGTAGGACTAGCATAAGGACAGACACAGATTAATGGACCAGAATTTAGAGTCCAAAAATAAACCCATGTATTTATGGTCATTTGGTTTTCAATAAGGTACCAAGATAATTCAAGGGGAGAAGAATAATCATTTCAAAAAATGGTGCCAAGGCAACTATGTAAAAAGAATGAAGTTGGATCCCTACCTCACTCCATATAGAAGATTTAACTCAAAATAAATCTAAATATAAGAACTAAAATAAAAAGCTCTAAGAAGAAAACAGGTGTAAATATTCATGACCTTGTATTAGTCAATAGTGTCTTAGATATGATATCTAAAACACAAGCAATCAAAGAAAAAAGATAATAACTGGACTTCATCAAAAGTAAAAAGACAGGGTGGAGGGTAGGCAATGGGAGGATAAGGACACATATGTAATACTTTAATCAATAAAATAAAAAGTAAAAAGACAAACCACAGAATAGGAAAAATTATTTTCAAATCATATATCTGATAAGAGTCTAGTATCCAGAATATATTAAGAACTTTTTCAATTCAACAATAAAAAGACAACCAATTAAAAATGAGCAAAGGGTCCTAGCCGGTTTGGCTCAGTGGATAGAGCCTCAGCCTTGGAACTGAAAGGTCCCAGGTTCGATTCCAGTCAAGGGCACATGCCCGGGTTTTGGGCTCAAGCTCCAGTGGGGGACTTGCAGGAGGCAGCCGATCCATGATTCTCACTCATCATGGATGTTTCTATATCTCTCTCCCTCTTCCTTCCTCTCTGAAATCAATAAAAATATATTTTAAAAAAAATAGGCTAAGGATTAAATAGACATTTCTCCAAATAGATAAATAACTAGTCCATAAGCACATGAAAAGATGCTCAACATCACTAACCATCAACAAAATGTAGTTACCTGTGTTTTGGCAGTTTGGCAGTTCCTCAATAAGTTAAATACAGAGCTATCATATGACCTAGCAATTCTACTCCTAGGTAGATATGGCCTCAACTGTGTCCCCCCAAATACCTATGTTAAAGCCCTAACCCCCAGTACTTAAATTTGCAACTATATTTGGAGGCAGGCCCTTTAAAGAAATGATTAAGTTAAAATGAGGTCCTTAGGGTGGGCCCCAATGAATATGACTGGTGTCCTTACTAGAAGAAATACACACACACAGAGGAAAGACGATTGTGAGGACAGTGAGAAGGCAGCCACCTGCAAGATAAGAAGAGAGGCCTCAGAAGAAACCAAACCCACTGACACTTGATCTTGGACTTCCAACCTCTAAAACTATGAGAAAATAAGTTTCTGTTGTTTAAACCACCCAATCTACTGTATTCTGTAATGGCAGCCCTAGTAAATTAATACAATAACCAAGAAATTTGAAGATATATTCATATAAGAAAATGTCCACAAGTGTTCATAGCAGCATTATTCATAATGACTGAAAAGTGAAAGCAACCCAAATGTCCATCAGCTGATGAATGGATAAACAAAATTTGGTATGTCTATATAATACAGTATTATTCAGCCATGAAGAGGAATGAAGTACTGATCATGCTACAACATGGATGAACCTTGAAAACATTATGCTAAGTGAAAGAAGCCAGACACTAGAGGTCACATATTATATGATTCCATGTATATGAAATCTCAGGAATAGACAGAAAGTAGACTAATGATGGCCAAGGGTTAGGGAACGGGGAAATGAAGAGAGACTGCTTATAGGAAAGTGTTTGTTTCAAAGGTGATGGAAATATTCTGGAATTAAACAATGGTGATGATTGTACAACCTTGTGAATAATACTAAAAATGTATGTGAAATATATCTCAATTTTTAAAAATATGCCTAAAATACAGCAAGTGGGGGAAAAAAGACTTTAAGCTATGATTCTATGTTTTAAAAATTTTAAATGGAGCCCGGCCAGTGTGGCTCAGTGATGAGCATCAACCCATGAACCAAGAGGTCCCCAGTAGATTCCTAGTCAGGGCACATGCCTGGGTTGCGGGCACGATCCCCAGTCTCAAATCCATTTGCTCCAACCTATCAGCAACCATTTGACTCTGAAGCTCTCTGTTTGCTCATCCTTGCCCTTGGGGTCTGGCTATTCCCCAGGTAGCATGCCCTTCATTTAGGCTACGTCCAGTGAAAGACGACAACATGCACATCATCTGGTAAAAATATTAAATAAATGCCTTATCACACTTAAAACAGCATGATGAAACAAAGTCCTGGAGGAAGCTCAGAATTATCTTTGAAAACAAGTATATGAGAAGAAATTCCACTCAGTAGGAATTTATCACTAAATTATAAGCCAAAAACAACGAGGCACAATCATGGACAGAATTTAGGAAGCACACTAGCAAAAAGAGAAATTCCTTTACCAGAAGGAAAGGGGGGAGAGGAGGGGAGGCAGAAGAGGGTAAAGTGGGGAAAAGAAAAAAAAAAAGGAGAAATTCACAGCCTCTGTTTGAAATATGGAAGATTTCATATGGAGTTGATGTGACTGAAAAAGTGCCTTATCACCAATTACTACTTCTAAATGTTAACTAGAATTAGAACAGGTAATAAACAATTAAAAAGAGAAAAAACAATTAAAAGCAGGAGACAATGAATGAGAATAAATATTATACTTTGTAAACCTACCGAAAATCAATATCCAATAAAAGGCTTTTAATGTTAGGCTTCTTGTCACCTGATGCTTTCAACCTGATCAGCTCATGCAACCTAAAACAATTAGTGAAAGCAAATTTAATATGAAGTTATAAAGGCCATAGATAATAAACAAATAAACAAAAAAATCAATGTTCTCCTGATATTTCTGATAGTTCACTGAAGAGAATGTGGCAGATGTAATCAAAGTTTCAGTTTTACAAATATATTTTAAAAGGCAGAACTTCTCTGAAACATAAAAGTCTAAAATTATAAACAGAATTTAAGAACCAAATCAGAAAGAATCTCCTATCATATATCAGAAATCTATAAAGATTTCTCCCAAGTGGATTACAGATTACAAACTCCTTTAGAGGGACCATGCTATATACTTCTTTGTATATTCAAAACTTTATGCTCTATCCTGGAACTTGAGAATATCTTTTCTTACAGTTTAAATAATGGTGCCAGGAAGTTTTTTAAAAACC